CTTCCTGCGGTACGCCTGCCGCGCCGGCGCCGGGCTCCGGGGGTTGTGCGCTGCGGGACGGGAAGCGGTGTCAGTGTCCCCGGTTAGCTCTGCGGGGCCGCGGGACAGAAATTCTCAAAGGGGTCGAGCCCGCGCCCGGCGTGTTTACAGACTGCCGCGGGGCGGGCGTGTCGGCGCCGAACCGACGGAGAATCAAGTATGTCAGAAGTTCCTAACTCCAGAAGGGCAATCATGTTCGGAAAGATTAAGGCTTTTGTAAACAAACAACCAACGTGCTCAGCTGCCATCAGCTTCCCGCTCCTCGGGCTGTGCGGAGCTGGTGATGAGGCAGAGACAAGTTGGGATAACGCAGCACATACCCTGCTCTGGGGATAGCCCAGGTGCAGCGTAGCTGGCGCTGGGCCGTGGCATCCTTGGCACGGCTGCTCTAGGACCTAAATGCTTTGCCCATACAAAGCCAAGGGCTGACTGGTAGTTCAAAAGAGGAAGGAAACATCAAGGCCAAGAACTTTACGATGAAGATAGTATTGTTTCTTTTTTTTCTTTTCTTACCTCTCTGCCCTAAGCCATATTTTGGCATACCTTAGTATGGAGTGCCAGTCCTCAGGGTATTCTTTATTATGTTAATTGTTACGCTGAGGCAAAGGCGAAGGAGTGATTTAAGACAGCCAAATAAATCATTACCATTTTTTCCTGTAAATGGTACTTTGTATCTCATTACAAAAGCTGGCCAGCACGAAGAACTATGCTACGAGACACTTCAGCCTGCTAACTTTAAATTGTAGACAACTGCATTTAACAGCTTCTGAGTGATTTTTCAAGCATAGCTTTATGTAGAGGTCTTAGAGGAGTCAATTTTGAAGGGCACTAAATCACTCTCGTGATGTATGGTTTCCTACTCTTTTTTTTCCAGGAGTAAATCTCTCTGATTTTATGATTGATCGCCTTTACCTTCTCTTCTCAGGTACTGAAAGCAATGCAGTATTGTTAGAAAAGCTGCAGGAGCAACTGAACCTCTGTTTAGGAGAAGAGATTTGTGCACTGACATAACCTTTCCATGTCATCATCCAGTGCTGATAGTGATTTAATGGTGCCACATATGGGCAAAGCATTCCTAGCATCGACATCGTTACGTTAGCAAAGCCATGCTAACAATAGAACGAACACAGCCTTTGTGGATGAAACGAACTACAGTATAAAAGCAGTTTTGCTGGCTTAAGGACTGTTATCTTTATGCAGGGGCTTATTGGGTGCCTACAGTGTTCAGCGGCCTTCCTTAACAAAGCTGTGCTAGCGGAATTCTCTGATAGCCCAAGAAAATTCTGGAGGGCTCTGGAAACTGCATGAGGAAACAGAGGATGTGAAGAACTTCAGACAAATAATAAAGATTGCCATTATCTAAAAGAATAAGTAAAAATTTAAAGTAACAAAAGGCAAAGTAAAGTTCACCCTCTGAACAGGTTGGTTTATAAAAGGCAAAACTGGTGGTTTGGAGAAGCGGCAGTCTTGCTCCAGAAATCTCCAGCAGTACTGGAAACCAGACGGAAGCTACAGCAGAGCTACAAGCCAGGCTGTTGAAACCCTGAAATCTGGCACTACTTAGGCTGATTGCAAGCTATTAAAGGTTATTAGCTGCAATTGCTATCTTGGACTGCAAAAACCCAACCAAACAAAAATTCTAAGATAGCAGATACAAACACAGGAGAGAAAGCTTGAACAACCTTCCTCAGTGAAGGAGTAGTCCTATCATCTGGTAGCTCCATGAGATATTTTACTTGATCGTTATTTTGTGGGCTGAGTACAAACCATCTGATTTTAATTGTGGACTGCTTATCTTTGTTATGGAAAAATAAGGTGGTTGATTGGATTACTGATTAAATAAGGAAATAAGTTAAAAATAATCACCATACCGATACTCCAAATCACATTAATATTGAGATCTTCCCAGAGAATTTCACAAACAAGGAGACTGATAAATAACATTTGATTTCTCTGTGCTAAAGACTTAAAAATCCCTTTAAATCTGCATGAATATCAATTCGTTCATACTGTGTGATTTAGTATGTTGGTACTGAGCCTGTGTAAAATAAAAGAAGGGCTTTTTGGGAAAATGACAGGTGCTCTACGCGCACTTAAGCCATTTTTCAATACAATTAGATGTCTCATTTACATATTGAGCTGATGTATTGTTGGAGCAGCGTATGACCAGAAATTTGCCTTCAGATTATCTGCAAGGCAGTTTGTTAATAAGTTTTATTTGACAACCTGATACAGTTGAAAAAAGGCAAACATTCAGGCACCTAAACCATTCCTCAGATAGTATTTCAGCAGCCTTTTATTACAGTAATTTTAGTCAGTTTTAAAGACAATTCAGGTTGTCTGTGTACTGCATCAGTTTAAGATGCAGTACCGCCTAGATTGTAACATTTTACTTTCTGTTTAAGAACTCCAACGATGCATGTCAGAAATCTTTTCAAGACCATCAAGTTGTTGGTGATAAAATACCATTAAAGTCCCATGATTTGTGAGAGGTTACTCACCTGTCTACCTATCCTATTAACCTTATTTTCCTCCCTGGCCCTTGCACATTTCTGAGAAACTTGGCAGTGTGTACTTAAATCAGTATATGATAGTATTTTCCCAAGTTGGACGTAAGAAAGCTATACAAATTTGTTATCAATGTTGTGTGGGACGATTTGCTGCATTTATATAATTCATTATTTTTATAGCATATTATTTCATACATTACCTTTTAAATGGCAGGCGACGAACAGCAGAGCAGTTTTTTTTACACTTAGAAATGGAAACTTTGGCTTTAAGCAGCCTACTTCATTCAGAGCTTTTATTAGAGAGGTTGCTACTCCCTAAAGGAAAAAAAAAAACAGTTTTAGCAGACCATTACAGAAATCTAGAGCAAAAATAGATTCAAAGCCTGATCCTGTTGTCATGAAATCTAACACTAGGATGATATTTAAGTTGGTGAATTGTAGAAGATAACAAATAGTATAAAATAGGGAGGGAAGTGACCATGAATCATTTTTTATTTCATATCTATGTGTCAAAATGTAACCAACTATCCTTAAATGATTCCAGGTAGGCTTGTGTCTATCCTGGTGTTAAAAATCAAAGCAAACTGTAGTCTTACAAGATATGATAAAAAAAAAAGTCAGAAAATCCATCATATAATATTGCAGTTTATTATTCCCTTCTGATGGTCTTACTTGTATTTTTTCCATTAAAGCTACAAATATATATTATTTTAAAGCTTTTTAAAAACTCCTCTTGATTGTAAATACACAGTTTTCAATTTGACATGATGGTATTAATAAACATAAGACTCATATTGCATTGAAAATGAAATAACCTGGGTGGGATATACTATGCATTGCAAAATCACGTTTTAAAACAGAAAAGCAAAAACTGGCCTGTTCAAGGTATCCAGCCAGAGGAAGTGCAGTGAGTAGCATCGGCTCCTTTATTGGCGGGAGTTTACGTGGAAGCTTCAGGTTGCAGTACTTCTCCGGTAACCTAACCAGATGAAAAGTAAGCCCTTTTCAGATATATAAACCGTGACATGATTAAAGATTAAAATGCAGTTAGTATATTCACCTCATAAACTTCAGAAGTTTTTCCTCACTTTCAAAAATATATACCTTATCTTGATATTTCGCTGCATACTCAATGTTGCCAGGCACCAGAGCTTTGTATCTGAAGAGACGGAGCAAGAAAGACTATGAGTTCACAAGAAATGTAAAACATCATTTGTGCCGTGTAAATTCATGAGCTCCTGGGAGCCTTCTGGTAATGTAGCAATTACAGGAACTACAAAAAAGTAGCGACTGGATCATCCCAGTTTCTGCCACATGACTGACAGTTACAAGGCTCAAAATCAGAGAGTCTCTGCCTCAAAATCTGCTTATTAAGTTGCTTTTGTAGTGCTGCTTTAGAGCTTCTCTGGTAAAAATGCTAGCCATGGTTATTCAGGAGGTTAAGAAGGGACAGCATAGAATTGACTGTTACGATTCTACCTTGATGAGAAATTCCTGCACACTGAGGAAACCAGTGGGACTTTATGGTGGAGCTTTATGAATCTCTTACAGAAATTGTAATAGCTGGTTTTGCATCTGCTAAAGTTTTGTGAGATTTGTTTGAACTTTTGAAGGCTTATGATAGGGAAAACTCAAACTATACCTAAGCAGTCTTCATCACAAAAGACAGTAAGCCAGCATAGATCCTTGTAGCCGTATGAGTTTCAAAAGGTGATTTTCTAGTGATTTCCAAAGCCACAGGCACAATACAGAGAATTGTAATTGCTTTTCCTGTCCAAACTGAACACTGTTAAAAAGCACTTTGAAAGTATTTTCTTATTGATGTGTTAATATAAGACACACACTCTGAAATTCAGATTATGAAAACCGCAGTGATGTACCTCTGTTTTCCATCTAGGTAAGTGACTGGACAGTATCCCTGCATTTCAGCACTTAGAGGGAATAAGGCCTTCACTTCTGCTGCAGTCAATTTCTTTGGAAGCATATCCGGGGGTGGGAGAGGGTGAGGTGCCAGTGGTGGCACATAAACCTCTGGTCTGCTCAAGAATTTCTGCAGAAAAAGAAATTAAGTGTTTTTATAATGAAAGAAGCACTGTAAGACTGTTAGTCAAACTCCAGAGGACTGGCTCACACAATTTAGATATTTGTTTCTTCTATAGCACCTCTCAGTGTGCTGGTGCTGCTGCTGCTCTCAGGGAAGTAATTTCTCTTCCAACCCACTCTCAGTTGAAGTCATCACTGTTCACCCACCATGCATCACTATCCGTTACTATCATTAGCTGCCCTCTGCCCCCAGTCTCCTCCAAACAGATGGAGAAAGGAGGAAATGGTTGCTTTAAAAGGAATATTTGATCTGTGACAATTTGTAAGAGGAGCTCTGGTTTGAATGGACTCTGCTGCATTTTGCCTGCCCAGAAGTATACAGAACAAAAGGTTGAATACTAGCAACACCAGTCTAATTCAGATTACATATAACTTGTTTCTGTGTGGAATCAAAGAATTTAAGCAACAATGTTCCCTCGTCCTGTAATCCCCTCCCAACCTGCTTTTTGACACTTACAGCCAGTTCTTCCTGTGAAGCCATTTTGTAATAGTGTCCTCGGAATTCTGCAGCGAACTGCAATGACGATGTTACAGAGCAGTCAACCAGTTCACCCTTTTCTGCAAGGCTGACAGGACAGTACTGGCCAAACTCCCCCAGCCGACACTGCAGCTCTTCGGGAGTGATACATAAATCAGCAATGCTAGCTGCTTTTCCTGTTAATAAAAGCAATTAATGATAATGTTTTATTAATGAAAGACATAGAAACGTCAAACGTTTCTATTCAGAAATGTTACAGTTTAGAAGATATTATAATTCATCATGTGAAAATGATATGAAATAATGAAAATTAAAATATCATTTTTTATAGATTGATACTAAAATGAAGTTGTAACCCATTTTACCAATTAATTTTAATAACATTTTTCTAGCACTTAAAAAATGTAATAATTGTCAATGATGTGGGATACTCTGTATGCTTAACTTATTAGCCTGTTTTCCCTGGGACAGTTTTATTTCTGATTTATTGTTTTACTCCTTTGTGATGCTAAGGAACATTTCAGCTATTATTTTATTTCTTTACATTGGTGAAAAAGAGTATAAGGTGTGATGAAAGCCTCCCCTTGATTCATTCATGTCTTGCAAATGCTACAGTCCCTCTGGATGAAGTATATTCAAAATCTTGAATAAAAGGTCATATAAAACCCAAACTATTTAAAAATTTTATTTTCAAAGCTTGATGTGAAAAAGTTAAACATATTTTAACTTTTTTTTTTTGGCTTATGACTGCAATTTTTAAGAAGGGCGCAGCCAGAGAGCTGTAAAAGCTAAAACCAAAAGGTGGATATAAGATGAAGAGGTCTATTTGCCCTTCAGAGGACTTCTAGTTTAACTGTACAGGCATGTTTAAAAGGCATATTTAATCCTGACCAATGCTTACACACAAAAATTCAAGTGGGAACTGTGGCATTTTAGACTAAGGTGGTTTTCCTTCCACAGCACAGAAATTAACTAGGATGGCATATTTAACCTTAATTCTGAACCTAAAATGAACATTTTCCCTCTCCTTCCCTCCTCCTCCACTGACACTTCAGTGAAGCTGCAAGTCATAGTTCCCCTTGCATACTTCGGAGTACCCTTTATGATTTATCACCCAATGTTGGGGAATCTGCCATGGACCATGAGACCTCTGACTTCTTTCAGCTGTATTCTGTTACCCTGATCTTTAGAGGATGGCCTCGGACTGTCCTGTAGATGGTTTTGTCTTTGCTCTCTTTGAGAGATCTCTTCAAGATCTCTGCAGGTGAGACTGAAGAATTTGATGGTATGTATGTGCCCAGGAATTAGCTTAATCCAAAGCAAGCTGAAGTTGAAATGCACTCATTACGTTGCAGATTCTTAGTGAAATGGATATTATTCTGAGAAACTTTGTTTTTCTTTTACCTTCTCTTATTCTTTCCAGGTATATCTGGATTTCTTTAACAACCACTTGAACTTCCTGCAGTACTTTTTTCCAGATCCACCACTTGCTCTGAAAGGCATCAATCACACACCAGTTCTGATGCTCCTTCTTATAGTACGTCCTAATTGCATCAATGTGCTGTTTATAGCAGGAATTTTTAATAGCTAGAATCTGTGAGCTGTCAGAGTGAGAAGATCTGAAGACAATGAAAAATAACACCGATTTAAGCCTGAAGATTAGATAATTTCATTGAATTTCAGGTGTAAATTCTAGAGTTCACAATAAATCCTATTTACAAAATTCTGCTTATTTGACACTGTAGAATGTATTTGAGAAATATAGCTTTCTTGAGATTACCAGTTACATAATGAAAAACAGCATACCTCTTACCAGACACTTATGTTCAGAAACAAAGAACAAAGCTTTTGCTCTTTATTAATGTACACATTAAATGGTACCGTAGACAAAATGCTGAGACTTTTAAAATGGAAGTCAATTGTTCCTTGAAAAATAGAATTAATTTTGAATTATGCTGTTACTTGAAATCAAGAAGTCGCCATAATCCTTGGATATATTTTGAAAACTCTCTGTCCATCTGACCTTTAAAAATACTACGCAAGACCAGAAGAAATAGAACATAGAAGCATTTCCTGTTCTGGTTTTTAATTTAAATGATGGCAAAAAAATGGTAAACTTCTGTTTTAATAGGATTAATTTCTCTGTAAGTTTTATCTTTCAGAAACATCTGATACTGCACATTTGATTTATATTTAAGCCTATGAAATGTAATTAGTTTGGTATTTAAAATGAAAAGTTTAAAGTAAATACTTTGAAAAAGACAGCATTAATTTGATTTTTTGCAATGCAAATTGTCTTTAGGCTTTCAGTAAACAATTAAGCTCTGATTACTTTATAAAAAGAAAGAGACAAAATGAAAGAGACATGCAGTAATGCTCTAAGCTATCGGGAACTTCTTAGAAACACTTCCTCTAATGAGAACCAGGTTCTTATACAATTTAATTTTAAGGTGAATGTTCTGTTCTTTTTAATTCTCTGTCCCTTTAGAAACTATTTACTGCTCTTCCTCAAAAACAACCAACAGCTCTTTAAACAGAATTCATCTCCTTAGAGAAACAAAGAAGAAGGGAGTGAGCTGAATTGAAAGGTTTAGATGAGTAACTTATAAATGGTATATGTTATTAAAATATATGTTATTTCCATCTTTTTCAAGGAAGTCCAATTAAGACTTAGAAATTATTAGATGAATTATCAATTTCCTTTATGATGGTAATAACTGCATTGATTAATAATAAACTTCAGCAACAGAGTGATCTAGTAACATTTCTGATGTACAGTTTCATTTTGTGGATGCCCCATCCCTGGAAGTGTTCAAGGCCAGGTTGGATGAGGCTTTGGGCAACCTGGTGTAGTGGAGGGTTTCCCTGCCCATGGCAGGGGGGTTGGAACTAGATGATCTTTAAGGTCCCTTCTAACTCAAACCATTCTACAATTCTATGATTCTATGATTCTATGATTCTATGATTAAAACCAATTTAACTAAGCAGAGGGTGCACAGTATTGCACATCTGTGACCTCAATCATGCAACTGGGACATGTGGCCAGAGCCTGCCACAAATTCCTTATGTCTCCATTCCTGGTCTGTGGAAATCAAAGCATTAGAATGTAGAGAGACTGGTGCCCGTGCCTTTTCATATATGGAGTTCGGAGACAGCTGGGTTATGCAGCAGCTTCGCTACAGCCTCTCTGGGTATAGCACTGAGGCACATAAATAGAGAAATGACAATATCGTGTGGATAAAAATATTGCTATCAGGGAGCATCACTACCTATTCGTGCTTTCCTTATCCAACAGTGCTCTTCGGAACACTTCCTTTGCATCCATTTCTAATTCAAAGATTTTCACTGGAATTATCCTAGCTGATTCCAAGAGGTTTACTTGTTTTCTTGTTACAGGATATCCATCAATTACAACTCTGCATACAAACAGAAACAGAAAGACCATTTTCCTAAGAAGCCAGTTTCTAATCAACCACTAAGATTATGTGCATTCCTAGTACATTCTCAATAGAGACAAAAGTCTACACTCATGCTATGAAGTTATCGCTGCTCTGACTTGATAGACACAGTCTTCACTCCTAAGAATTTACAGTCAAATTAAAAAAAAATAAATCAAGTACAAAGAATAAGAAATAGTAAAAAGTAAAGGAAATACACGAAGGGCAAAAGGTACAGGAATGTACGTGGATGGCTCTGAATTATAAAAATGGTGGACTTTAAAATTCTGACCCATCAGTCATTCAGAAACATAATTTTAACTGTGGAAAGTCTCCACATGGATTGGAAGGAGTAGTTTTCAAAGTGAAAAGTGAAATGATTTACAGTACTTGAAGAGTTTTTTAAATCATATTGAAGGAGAAATAATTTTTCACATATTAGGCAATACTGAGGCAATATATACTGAAACAATATTCCAGTATTTATCATGAAAGAAAAGTTGAAAGAATTCTGATCTCAAGCTCAAATAATTTTCAGACATTATTCCAGAGTTGCTTTTCGCTGTAACAATTCTCCTTTTTGGGGAGAGGAGTTAAATGTCATGAAATCATGATCATGAAACTTTTTAAGTGTGCCAGTTGGGAAGGTGTTTCAATGGTGGAGAAAGATAAAATCAGGATCACATATGAATGGGGTGGAAAGACTCACTGGTTTCAGTTCCTCCTTAATAACTTCAGTTGTTAACAAAACCAGTAAAAACCTTGAGTACTGAACCTATCTGCGTGACCAAAGAGAATCAGATGTGTCCAAGTTGGTACCGAAGTTGGTATAAGGTTTATAATATCTTTGGTATAAGGTATAATATCTTTCACAGGCTGAAAGAGTTGGGGCTGTTCAGCCTGGAGAAGAGGAGGCTCCGGGGTGACCTTATAACGGTCTTCCAGTACCTCAAGGGGGCCTACAAGAAAGATGGGGAGAGGCTGTTCAGGAGGGCCAGTTGTGATAGGACAAGGGGTAATGGTTTTAAAATAGAGGGAGGTAGATTCAGGTTGGATATTAGGAAAAAATTTTTTACCATGAGAGTTGTAGAACACTGGAACAGGTTGCCCAGAGAGGTGGTGGATGCTCCATCCCTGGAGACGTTCAAGGCCCGGTTGGATGAGGCCCTGAGCAACCTGATCTAGTTGGAGATATCCCTGTTCCTTGCAGGGCGGTTGGACTAGATGACCTTTGAAGGTCCCTTCCAGCCCTAACGATTCTATGATTCTATGATTCTATGATAAGAGAGATAAAATGGTAGTTCTCAAAGGAGAATAGAAAATACTGGCTTATTGACTGAAAAAAGGTAACTTTCATAAAGCATATTTCTTGGATTTACTGGAATATACTTACTTGAAAATTGCAGAAAACTACGCTTCAGTCTGGTTTCCCAGAGTAATGGGAAGAACCTAATTTTGGACAGATTATCTTCTCAATGCATAAACCACTGACGTGGTTTTAGTGAAATTGCTTTACAGTTATAACATGGGAATCACTGACTATGAAGGGACTGGCATGTCTTAAAAAATCCCCGAAACCCAAACAAGACTCTTACCCGGTGGTATTACACATGTGATTCATCAGAGCCACATCCAGAGCCTGGATGGCCAGTTCATCAGGCACGGTCAGTCCCTTGTGAAGATGCCACTTTAAGGTAAGCGCCAGCTCGCTCTCTGGCTGATTGTTTAACACTAGCCGTATGGCATCTCCCATGCTCAGGCGCAGTAACCCGTATACACTAGCAAATTTCTCAGCAACTGCAAAACATTTGGATTTCAACACGTGACTTTTAGGTAAGCAACATCACAACCTAGCAGGCTGTTAGAAGTGTGTCCTTAGTCTTAGAAGCGAAGTGCTCAGCTCATTCCCTGGGTCATTTCCAATGCATCGCCGTGGTAACCATGGTACCTAAACCTGCTGAGGCCCCTAAAGGGCCCACACCTTTGTGTATGTGCAGGGCACGCCCAATGCACCAACAGCGTTCAATTCAGCACAAACCTCAGCAGCAATAGCCAATGTTATTACAAAGTATCTTAGAAAATGTGCTTCCACTGCTGCCCCTTTTACAGAACAGCCTAACAGTTAGATAATTTATCTAGGAAATGGGAAATATGGTTAAAATTTCCTCCTTAATATGAGATAATTTGAACCCATGTCTTCTTTTTCTGACACCCAATTCTAATCATTAAGATACGTGTGAGCTGAATTTTCTCCTCCTCAAGTTAAAGGCAGAGGCCTGTGGATTGAAGGAGTTGTGAAGGAAGGAGAAGGAAGAAAGATGGAAATCTTGGATTTTTTTTTGATCTAGAAGTTTGGAAACAGGCTGGGGAATGTGGAGTTTTGGGTTCTGGTCTTTGATCCTAGGAATATTTCTTCATTTTACATTAGATCATATTGACTAAAAGAAATAAGAAACAATTAGAAAATGATCAGAAATATACAAGGAGTATAAATAGTGTAAGTCTGGATTTTCTAAGTGCCAGTCCAGATCACTAACTTCTTATAAGCTGGGATAAAATTCAGATGGACAATGCATAAGTATCTGACTGTCAAATGAGACACTAGAGAATGTAACGAAAAGACTCTATGCCCAGCAAGAAAAGCAGGAAACCTAACAATATTAATGATTTATGATTTTTAATAGCAGTAACGACAGATACAGCTTCAGCCATTAGATAAGGTTTTGCTTTACAGATAATACTGGCTCCTACCTGTAGTCTTTCCTGATTTTGGAGGTCCCACGATTGCAATCTTAACTGGCACAGCTGGTTTAGGTTTTGGCTGACGAATATATTTGATGGGATTTTTCATAAATGTTTCTTTATTTTCTTTACTTGAAAAGAAATAAATATATTGTCGATGGATCACAGGAAAGACTCTGTTTTCATAGCTTTGTTGTGGCTTGATTACATCTCCTTCACTTAGCTGTAACATATACAAAATGGGAAGCAGTTGATTAGGTTTGACAAAGCCTCCTCTCCCTCAGTCCTACAGAACTGGCTTTATAGGCAGGTAGAGGAGTACCAACAGTATGAAACAAACCATCAAAGCATTCTGAAATTCATACATATGGACATAATACTTTGTCCGAGTCTGAGGAACTTCCATACACATGCAATTCTTGTACAAAAAGATGAAGTAAACATGGAAGAAAGAAAGAATATTCACTGTTTCCAGTAGGTGGTACCATAACACTTTCTGTCCATCAAAAGAGTGTAGTTAGAGAAGTATAACAGAATACCTTTTTTTAATTATTTTTCAAAGAATAAAGAAAATAATTTCATTCCTCTGTGAATTAAAATCATTTATCTACCTGACAGTAGAACATACACTGAAAATATTGTATTTAGCACAAGTCTTGTACCAATGAAGAAAACAGAAAAGAAAATCAGTACTTAAATTATGGTGAAGTGTAAAACCACAAGAAGGCAAGCCAAAAAAGCTTTTGGTAAAATACATAAACTGCTGAAGAAATCTTTTCAAACACATCAGACAGCCCACTGTAGTGTAGCCACAGTCTGTAGTGTTAATGGATCATTGAGATGTAAAAGGAGCACTGCTGGCAGAAGTGGTCATTGCAGAAATGCTAAATTCATGTCTTGCACCACTGTTCACTATAGAAGAACTTAGTCATGTCCTTGTTGCAGCCTTCCTGGAGGAAGGGCCTTAAAGTGTTAGTAGAAGATATTTTAGAACAAACTGTTGACATCTGTAGAAAAAATTGCCTGGACCAGATGGCATTCACCTTGCAGTTCTAAAGGGACTCAGAAGTGAAATTGTTGCTAATGTGTAACCTATTGCTTACGTTGGCCTTCCTTCCACAAAAAAAGGAGCGTGGAGAAAGTGACCAGTATTTGAAAAGGCCTCCAGGATGGATTCTGGCAAATATAGACCAGTAAATCTGACCCTATACTGAGCAAAATGAAATATATTAAGGGAAAAACCAGTAGTTACAGGCATACATACCAAATAATGGGGAAGAGCCAACTCAACTTCTTGTAGAGGTAAATGATACTTCACAAATCTATTAGTATTCTTTGAAGGAGTCAGTAAATATGTAGATAAATTGATTTGGTTGTTACAGTAAGAGATGAGACTGTTCTACTGCGCGGCATTACCTTGCCAGACCCTTCTCTGATTCTTAGGTTCCTATTCCTGCACCAAATTGTTTCAGGGTGCTTGCACTCAATTTATAATACGTCAGGAGTCTGTTCTAGTGTTTATCGGCTCCCACTCCTCCCTCAGCTCATCATTTTTCAGAGAATCATAGAATGGTTTGGGTTGGAAGGGACCTCAAAGATCATCTAGTTCCAACCCCCCTGCCATGGGCAGGGACACCCTCCACTAAACCAGGTTGCTCAATGCCTCATCCAACCTGGCCTTGAACACTTTCAGAGATTAAGCATCCTCAACTTCTCTGGGCAACCTCTCCCAGTGCCTCACCACCCTCAATGTAAAAAATTTCATCCTTATATCTAATCAAAATCTCCCCCCTTTCAGTTTAAATCCATTGCCCCTTGTCCTATCACTACACACTCTTGTAAAAAGTCCCCCTCCATCTTTCTTGTAGGCCTCCTTTAGGTACTGGAAGGATGCTAGAAGGTTACTCTGGAGCTGTCTCCGGGCTGAACAATACCAGCTCTCTCAGCATGTCTTCATAGCAGAGGTGTTCTAGCCCTCACATCATCTTCGTGGCCCTCCTCTGGACTCGCTCCAGCAGCTCCATGACCTTGTGTTGGGGACTCCAGAGCTGAATGCAGTATTCCAGGTGGGGTCTCATGAGAGCAGAGTAGAGGGGCAGAATCACCTCCTTTGACCTGCTGCCCACGCTTGTTTGGATGCAGCCCAGGATACGGTTGGCTTTCTGGGCAGCAAGTGCACAGTGCCTGCTCATGTTGAGCCTTCCATCAACCAGCACTCCCAAGTCTTTCTCTTCATATTTTTATTCTCTGCTTATCTAATCAGTTGCATGACTATTTCCCTCCCCCCCAAATTTTATCTGAAAGTAATTGGCATATACTCTGTCTGCCTTTCTACAAAAACCTCCCTCTGGTCCTTAATCAATTTCATCATTTCTATTATATCCTAAAATACCATCAAAATGATCCTATTTTCCTTTCATTATTGTCAGCATGTACATTTCCACTGTCAGCACACCACTCTGATTTTATCTGATAGCTTTCCATGACTACTTTCTTCTAACTGAATTGTACTTTTCGGTTAGTAAATAACATCATATATAGTGAACATGAATGTATTGGAGAAATGGAATGACAAAAATGTAGTGAA